TGTTTGTTTGTTTGTTCATTTATTTTCTCCCTTCCTGTGTCGCTTTCTCACATGCCAAAACCCTCTGCTTGGGGGAAGTGGCGATTCTTCCCTGTCAGCTCCTGCACAAGAAGGGCCCCTTCCTTTTGGGCAGTGTCCAGCTGGGCTTTGCCTCACACCTCCCTTGCTTGCATCACGTCCTGAGCCCTCTCCAGCTTCACATTTCACCATTCTTGGTGAGGTTTGGGTGGTTTTTTTCATCCCTCTGAAACGTCGCAGCTTTTCCTGATGCCATGAACGCACTCGCCATCTTCGAGTCCTCCCTGGAAACCCATGGCTTTCACTGTGGCTTCCATTGTTATTGCTCCTCACAAAACTACTTTTTGGCCTTGTCTGTACACTGAAAGTTGATGCTGACAAACCATTGGAGTTTTAGGCAAAAATGACGGGTCTTACTCGTCCTGTTTATCCCAGCAAGAGCTCTAGTACAGATGCAGTTATGCCAGCAGAAGAGCGCCTTACTATTTTACCATTTGGGTAATGGGAGTAAAATACATCAATCAAAGACCTGCTGTGTCCCTATCACCTTTATATTAATATGTTTTTAGCACAGCGACAGCTACCATAGTTCTGGGCTCGCTTCATCTTGTTGGAAAATTGATCAGAAGGTATTTGATTTCCCCACTGCAGAATGCTGTGTTCCCATATCGACTTTTCCTTTCTCTGAAGCCCAGTGCTGCTGGGTTTTGTCTTTGTGTCATAATTTTGCTGGGTTCAGCCCCCGTTTGTTGCAAGTTAGTTAGCACTGCCTCGATTTTCATTGTTACCGAGCTTTACAAAAGCTGCAGTTTCTTTGTAATTGCTAATGAATTATGTTTTTCAAAGTCATCATGGAATGTTTTTCAGCCCCTGTGGCTTCCAGCCTTAGTACTGAACGCAGTGTATTTGGGATGGACAAAAAACCCCTTCTGTTTTTGTCGTTGGCAGAGGGGAGAGAGTCAAATGCTTTCACCCATGGCATGTTGTGTTTGATAGATTCCAGCATTTGATTCGAGCTGAGAGGCATGAATTTTCTTCCCCACCTAATACTGAAAGCAGGCATGTGAGCACCGTAGCAGCGTGGTCTCTCTGAAGCTACATTTCATCAGCAGTTAAGCTAAGCACTTACCTATGTCTGTGCTGCTGTACGAGACACTTGGACTGTTATTTCACGTGTAGAAGTATTTATTGTTTGAAATCCCATTTTTTTTTAACCATTCCTCCCACATAGCTCGCTTCCTTGATCCAGAGTTTTGCTGCTGCTGCAGGATGTTATCATTTAGCATGTGTCAGCTCTGGCTCGTGCAAGAGTAATGGAGCAGAAAGCCTTCATTTTTCGCTGAAGCGGCGAAGGGGATGGTCCAGAGGTTGCGGTTGGAAGCTCAAAATGGGACTTTTACTAATATGTACCAGTGGAAACTCACTGAGCTGGTTAATTCCCTCAAACACTTGCTGAGGGTGTTGTTACAGGGGTAGATCTTTTTTAGTTCTTTATTCTGATCTGTGACTTGTAGGTAATTTCCGTTACACCCCTGCGTACCTGCCCTGTCTCTGCGCGGGGCCTTCTCTTGACCTGCTCCAGAACCTCTGCAGACAATGAAATGCGGTGTGTGGTGAAGGACTCTGAGCAGAACGAATGCTTTCGAAGTAAAACAAACTCTTTGGGAGCTTTGGTGCTCTGGCTGTCTTTCAGATGTAGCTTTGTTTCATCATTTCAGAAGGTAGATGTTTGGAGCAAATGGGGCAGATGTTTGAGGGAAGAGACTGGCAGAATTTCCTCACAGTTTTCTGCTGTAGGTGCCTTATTTACACCTGCTGAAATGGTTTCATAAAGTTACTTATAAATTTATGAGCATTTTTGCCATCTCCTTTTCCACTGGTTATGTTACTGAATTTTCCCAGCACTCACCTGGGTCTCACTTTGCACAGTTGCTGTCTGCACAGCGAGATTAATCCTGTCTTGGGATCTGCAGAGGAGTGTTTAAATTTATAATTCAGATGGATACAGCTCCTGTGGCAGAGACTGTGAAGAGGTTCATGAATTTCTAATTAGAAGGGATTTATTCAGTGAATATTTCCTGAACTGACTAAGTTGTGGTGTGGAGCATAGATGAAGCTTAATGTTAAGCCTAATGTTAAGCTTAATGTTATTAAAATATGTGCATTCCCTCTGGAATGTGTGAGCCCTACCCTGGGTGCCCAGGTTTCCTTTTGGATGCTCTTCTCTACAATGCTTGTGTATTTTGGGAGCAGAACAGCAATGCCTTCAGATAGGTAGAGATGTTCCTTATCTGTTAGGTTGCAAACGGAACAACTGAAGTCATCACAGTGGGGAGAAATCCCTCTTGAATTGAAAGACTGTCATTCCAGTCAGGAAATGCGTTTCCAGCTGCTTTCCCGTGTATTTTGTACATTGTACTTTCTTCACGTACGCGTTTTTCAGGCTTAGCTCATAAATTATATTTTTCCTATTGCTATTAGACAAGAAACCAAAGGAAAATACTGTTTTCAAGATTTTTTTTTTTATGGGAAAGGTAGTGTACAAACGCAAAATCACAATATTTAGAAGCCTGCAACAATTGGAAGAGAAAACGTATCCTAAGCGATCACACAAATCATACAGCGTACAAAGTAAGCAGGAAAGCTACCCGTGAAGAAAGATTCTTCCTTGAGCCCTAAGGCGAACAACTTAAGGCCTGAAGCATAAGCCACAGTCCTGCTTGTTCAGCTTACAACTCGCATTGTCTTTCAAAATGAGGGATTTGTAAAAAGCACTTTGCCGATTCGCGCGCTGTACCTCAGCTCCCAAGCCGCGTCCGTTCGGCCCCACAGCCGCTTTCTGCAGCGCGAAAGAAAGGTGAAGGAGACGGGAAGAAAATAGGACTGATAAGAATATGGCTTTAAAGCGAGTAACAAAAATGCTTCTGCAAGTTGAGATTGTTTTAAATTGGCCGTAGGTGACTTGATGGAGGAATCACTAGTTTAAATTCATCGGGCTTCGCTCTACAGGATATTAGCATTATTAATTTTTAACAGCTCCCTTTGGCTTTATTATCAGTATTTGAGATTCTGTGCTGCGCTAACCTTGTACCTGGAGGGGAGCTGGACAAGCAGGTGCTAAGCTGCTGTTTGCCCTCCCTCTTATGTGTTCCCTGAGGGTTGGATACATACATGAATATCTCAATTTCTGCAGGATATTCGCATCTTACGCTGTGATTTAACTGTGTATAAGTCATGTGGAATATGCACCAACAGTGTCTGGGTACAGAACAGATGACTCGGGCAGGGCCCCTTAAATCCGGAAACCCCGAGGGTAAATCAGACACTTTTCCCAAACACATAGCTTAAGGAGCCTGCCCTCCGTGGGTACTTTCTCAGATCACTGGGTTTCTTGCCCCAGCACTGCATAGTCCTGGAAACACAAGCTGGGGATGTCTGTTACTGCAGCCGCTGTTTCTAGGAACCCAAGCTCTCCTCTGTTTAATTTTTGAGCTTTGGTTCAGAAGGGTGGAAGATGGACTTTCAGGAAACTAATCTTTGAAAATATTTTCTGAAAAGATGTTACAGCGTGCCTGAGAACATGCCAGTGGTACAACGTTTGCTCAACCTTCTAGAATTAGCCCTTGGTATAGAGAAGTCCCTAATCCTGCGGAAGTAAAGTCAACACAACCTGTGGATTTTAATGTGAGGCTTAATGGATTTTAATCTAAATAAATAGGATTGCTTGAGACTGATAAAAGTTCTGTGATCTGTGTTCTAAATCTATGCCAGAAGTTCAGTCAAGAGTAGTGTTTTCCAAAATATTTTCCTTCGGGTTCTTGTCTAATAGCAATAGGAAAAATATCATTCAGCTGGAAAAAGGGTAGGTATATTAATCACAACAGTGTAGGACTATCAGGTGTTTTGCATTCCAGCACTGCAGAGTAGGGCTTTAGAGGAGGGAGGGGAGAGTTGTTCTTGCTTCTGTCCTTCAGAGTCATCTTGATCCTATAAAACTGCTCCTGTTCTAACAGGGTGGGCTTGACAATAAGCGAGCAAAAAGAAAGCAAATACAGTCAGCTTTTTTAGGATTTTGTTACACGGAATGCATCTGGCTGTTCAGCTGGATAGTTTTAGGCTGAAAGTAGTAACTTCACATCTAATTGTAATCTCTGGCTACAACTTGCAAGAACTGCTCAAGCAAAAGACTTCTATAAAGCCTTAGGAACCCGGTAGCTTACCGTTTACAAAAACTAGCATGTTTTTCTAAACATATGCAGCAAGTAGCTTTTTAAGGCAACAGATAAATCATCAGAAATTTGGGATCTAAAGACGTTTTGGGGACGCAGTGGATTCTCCTGACTGGCTATGTGAAACTTTAGGGTGGAATAGCTGATAAAATGCTCCCTTTTTCACTGGTGTGGCAGTGTGCGGACAAGTGAGGTGCTGGTGAATGGGAAGCGTTTAGAACACGGGGCCTGTCTTTCCTTCATCCTCGCAGAGTGCTAGGCGGGGGTGGTAGAGTGCCTGAGGAGGATTCGCAGCCATGTGCCTGCAGACTTTTCCAGATGCAAAACTTACTCGGGTTCCATTTTGATGGAGCTAATGGAGGGAGAGAAAGAATCCTGGTGCCAAATAGCTAATTTCATTTTCCTGATCTCTGAACATCTGTGGAATTTCCCTGGGCTCAGTACAGCTTCTGCCTGACTAGAGGAGCCCTTTTGGATCTGTCAGCAAGTGAACGTGGTCGCCTTCTCGTGCTGACTTCCACTCGAGGACTTCATTTCCCTTTTTGTGCTGTAAAATCAGCAAAAGCAGATGTGCAGACCATGCATGGTCAGGTGAAATCCCCCAGTTGGGCGATGACCTTGTGTCAGCCTTGTTAACTAGCCAGCACTTGGCCGTGAGCTGTCCTTTGCCTTCCTGGCTACCCGTGGCCAGCAGTGCAAGCCAACTCGGTCAGGTGATGGCAAGTAGACTCCTCTCTACTCTAGATCTTGCAAACTTCCTGGGCGGGCTAATCCAGCACCGCTTCGTGGCAGCCAGTGGTAATTTCCTGCTTAGTATTAAAAGTCTGCATTTCCAGAAAACTGTCTCTGGTTTGTTTGTGTTTGTTTGTTTTTGGTTTAGTTTTTTTTTTTTAATTAAGTCTTAAGAGTGTTTTGTCACCCTTTCTGTAAACAAAGGTCATAGGAAGTACAATTTCACAGAGAAAAGAGATTTACATGTAGGCTGAGGAATGTGTGAACTGAAAGACCTCCAGTATTGAGAAATAAATCCACGTCCTTTTTTCATTTGTTTGGAGCATGTATGTTACTGTGGTTGCTTACTCAGCCACGATGGCCTTGTGGTTACAGTACTGACTTTGCAATAACTTCACTAGGGGTAGGACTGGCTGAGAATAAAATAGCCATGAGTAAGTTCCCCTATGGTTTCACATGCAGATCAACCAGCAAAGTCTAGTTCTCTACTACCAACTATGAATTTTTCCTCCATTCTAATTGGAGTTTTCCTACTGACTTCAGCTACACTCATTAATAGTAGGTGCCTTTTAGGCAGCTGGCTTGCAGTCTTAAATTGGATACCACCAGTGGGACTTGCTTCATCTAACTTGAGGCAGCTGAAACCCGTCAGGCGAGTTGTTCTGTAAGAGTTCCTGACCCTCCATCCATTGCAAAGGGAGCCTGGATGACTGGGTCCTGGAGTTGATGGTTATATCCTGGATGTTTCAAGGAAGGTGATGAGAATTCTGTACTGTTGACACATTTCTGTGGTAGAAACAGGCCTTGCTGAAATGTATCTGAATCCTCTTAGTATTTTTAGCTCAGAGAATGGTCTTTTAATGCCAGATTTTTCTCCCTGAAGGCTAATTTTGGGAAATTGTACTAGAGCTTACCTAACAAATTGTGTGATGATCTAATGAAAATTACACATTCTTCTTTCTATTTTGCTTTGAATCATTTTTGTCTGGCAATTCTACATTCTTCTGTAATCTTCATTGATAAGGATGGAATTAGCTGGTTACTGGAGAATTTCAGAATTTATCCTGAAAGCAACTGCTTCTGGAAAGGCAAATGTTTCCCATTTAGATGGTTTCGAGGTAGTCCTAGGTTCTGTATTTCTGTTTCTTCTTCCCTTTTTTTTCCCTTTAAGATTTCTTCTTTCTAGTGTTCGGCTATTTCATTAACCTGACGTTTGTTCTGTTTTAGGAGAAACCTGATGCCAGCCCCACATCTCTACAGCTGCGATCCCAGATTGAGGTTAGCACTTTGATTTTGATCATCCGTTTTTGTTTGTTTGTTCTTTAATTTGCCATTCTGCATAAATTGGGCAAAGACTGCTCTCCTGTCCGCTGTCACTGCTATGTGTCTTCCCTTGCAGGAGTCGCTTGGTCTCAGCAGCACTGCGTCAACACCCGACACGGAAAGAAAGTAAGTGAAGGCACGGCAGGTGAGAGGGGAGGGAGGGGGAATTGGGGAAATTGGTGTGTTTTCTTCTTCCTTGGAGAAAACTCATTTTAGCTTGTGTTGGCATTTCAAGATTTTAGATCCAGCTGCTATTAATGAAACCCGTTTTGGAGCCTCTTCCTTGCGCCTCTTCCTTGTCTTGTTCTCTTTTGGCCTCTTATTGTTTTGGGTTTTTTGGTTTTTTTTAGATCAAGGGAGAGTTATCTTTTTCTCTCCTCTGTGAGTGCTTGGGGTGTGCATATACCAATACAACTGGTAGTCTTTTTGGAGGAACATCACTGATTTCACATTCTCTGCAAACTAAACCTGCTTAAAAAAAAAAAACAACCCAAAACTTTCTTTGACTAGACCTAAATGCAGCCAAAAAGAGATACAAGAGATGAAGAGAGAGTTACAGGCTTGAACAACTTTCCTTTTCCTGTGCAATCCTGGGTTTGTAACTGCACTTTTGAAGAAGGTGCCAAGGGAATGAAGTATTTAAAGCCAAGTTAAAAGGAGCTTTAATTTTAGCAGTCCTTAATAAAAACCTCTCTGTGAGGACTGAGAGGGTTTCTGTTTACTGTCACCTCCTGCTGCAATGTGCGTGCTTGTTTTCTGCGCCTCCTTCCTTTGATCCCAAGATCTTGGATCCCTACTGCTGAGGGTAACGTGCAGCAGTGCATGAAGACAACTGACACTACTTCCACTTGCCTATGCTCCCTGGGGCAGTGCCAACTGGACTGGTTCAGAGGGAGCGTGTAGAATCCAGTTGTGGTGTGGAGTGCTTTTGTAAGGTTTTACAGTCCCACATTTGAATATTTTCTAGTGTTTCAACACTGGACTGTTAACAGGAAGGTTGTAAGAATTTGCCACCCTTGCTAGTTCAGCAGAAGGGGTGTCAGTCCCAGAGAGGGATGTGAGGTATGGGACTCACTTGGGCACTGGCCACGTTACAGTTAGGTGTGTGGTAGGGAACAGCTGCTTACGGACTTCCTGGGGGATTGCCTGAAAGCTGATTCATGTTAAAGATCTTGGAAAGCGATAAATTATATTTTAGAGTTGCCTTGTCTCTCTTAATTGCTCACAGAGAAAGTAGTTGATGGTTTTCTTGAGGTAGACGCTGATGTTTGAAACAGCTTAAGACAGGTAAGGTGAATTTTACCTTGGGTGCCATCACTGCCCTCGTGTTACGTGCTGTTAACATAGAAAGCCTAGAAGGCTTAGAGTGTGAAAGTGGTGCTTCAGATACTGAAACATGGAGAAGTTTTCTTTAAGGATACCTCCCTGTCTAACATTATAACGAAACTAGAATTGCCAAGTGGATGGGAACTTTGAGAACTGTAATCTGTGAAGTAAGCCTCCGAGGTTATCCTGTAATCATAATATTTTTTTCTCAGTCTCAAAGCACATTCCCCATGGATAAATATCTTCACTATCATCACCCCACCTCAGGTAATCATGAGATAAAGATCTCACAGGAGGACAGCACACAGCTGGGAATAAGCTCTTCTTACAAGTTCTAGCCAGTTTCCTAAAATGGGTCTCTGTGTAGGTGTTGTACCACAAATAACTGAGAAGACAGTATCTACAAAAACATCATCTGAGTGACTGTTCTGAGAGAGCCCATTTACCTCACTGAAAGGAAATTAACCTCATTATCTTAGTTCAGATGGAAGAGACCTGTGATTTCTGTGGACCTTTCAAGAATTCCAGTGCTCCCGTTTGAGGATTTGCCTGTCAGCTGAAGGGTGTACGTGATAAACCTTATCAGATTTATGAAACTGGCGCAGGGCAGGTTGTGTCAGATATATGTGAAATAAGAAACAAGGCTGATTGGGCAAAGTGTTGAAAATAATAAATGCTCTCTGCTCAATACCATGCCAGTTATTCAAAATTATACAGGCCTCTGCCTATTAGTGACAGCCTGCCACACCAATGCTGGTTTCACCTCTGTAGCTTGGAGGGCTGAGGAATGACTTTTGCAGGGAGGCAGAATTTCTACATTTGATCTGCAGGCAAATGGCCACTTCAAGTCCAGCCAGTACATCTGCGCTTGGTACTGACATGCTGAATTTGATGTTTTTCAGGAGGGGGTTTGGTGTTGGGTTTTTTGGTGGGTTGGGTTGTTGGTTTTTTTTTTTGGTTCAGTGTTTAGTTTATGACTTTCATCTGAATTAGCTGCATGGGCATGCTACAAGACAGGAAACCTTGTCCCTTTGGGAACGCTGTTTTTGTGGCCCCTTCGTGCTCCGTGAGAGATCCAGGGTAAACCTTTTACAAAAATTCTTTTGTTGTGAGAAGACTCAGGTTTGCCAAACCTGATGCAGATGCACATTGGTTTCTTGTATTCACAAAGAGATTTGAGAGCGAAAGGAAAGATTTGTCCCAAAATGGCCATCCAGATTTTCAGGAGCTGAAAAATTTGTTGTTGTATTATTCCAAAGACCATGTAAAAACTTGCACAAATAAAAGGTGTATTTCTATATACTGAAAACAGAAATGTTTTCCTGGGGAGAGGTGGGGCGAGTTGTTTCTGGACTGGTGTTCTCAGCAGGTCACTTCAGCAAGTAAAAGCAGTCCCAAGAAAAAACCCATGGGGAGGAATGAACGAGCAGCCAGCTGGAACATGGCTGGCCACAGTAGCTCCCTTGCCCAGCCCTGCTGCCCGCATGCCCCACAGCTTCATGCTACTAAGGTCTAAAATTTTAAAATAACACACCTGGGTGGTGGTTTAATTTGCCAGAGTTGAGAGATTCCAGACAAAAAGAGGCTTTGAGGGAGTCTGGAAGAAGCTATGTTTGTTTTGATCTGGTTTGGTTTTCCTTTTCTGTGGTGCCCAACTGAAGAGAGAGCCTGACAGGCTCCACTGTACACCGCCCCGAAAACAGATTGGCCTTGCTGCTCCGTGGTAGGAAAAAGTCCCGTTGGTGTGGATGGGCAGTGTATGTTCAGTCTTGCCTTGAGTCTCACTAACCCTGCTGCCCAGTCTGTTCAAAGCCAGCATGAAATGAGCTGGTGCCCTCGGTCCGGCAAGTTGCTCAACAAGTCTCTGTCTAGTGGGTGATGTGCTGTAACAGGGAGCGCAGCCGTAGTGCCTGGAGGGAGGCAAAAGCGGTTAAAACAAGCCTGAAGGCAGAGTTGCTTGTCACTTCAAGTCATTGTGCCTCCAGAAGGCATTTGGGACAATACTGCCTTCCTCTGCTGCTGACAACTGTGTTCCTGTTCGTTACCTGAAGCTACAAAACCCCCTGCACATCTGAACCTGCTCTGTGCGTTGTAAGCGCCTTACCAAGGGTGGTTTTCATTTGATAGATTCTGACACAGAGAGAAAAATCTTCGCTGTAACCAGGGCCTCAGAGATTTATGTGAATAACAGCAAGGGTACTGATGTGGCCTGAAAAGCTATCCGTAAACAACAGAAAACAAAGTCATGTTTGTTCAAGCTTCATCCCACAATTGCTCTGATTTTTTGGCCATACTGGAGTTCCTTCTGTAAACTGAAGCAGCTGGGCAGGCTGCAGAGTCATATAGTATTCAGCAAATAATGCAAAGCATGGAATGAGATGTTTGTAGCTTTCTTAATAATAAATTTCATTTCCCTCTGCCCTTTCCAAGATTCCCATCTTCCCAGTCTTGCTGTCAGTTACGGTGCGAGTGTAATTTTGCAGATTCTCAGTGCGCCTGCAGCAAAGTGCCAACAGCATCTTTAACAGTGATTTCATTTTAAACGAAAATCTCCCCACAGCCACAGGTGCCTCTGTGTAGAAGCAGTGTTCTGCTTTTGCTAGAAGGATCATCAGTGCAACAAAAATGCAGTGAATGTGTTCTTAGCAGTTACTACTGCTTCTGTGTCCCCATACCATGTTGATCTGGGGTTGCATTGTATATACAATCCCTATTATTTCCAAATGATGGCAACACCCCAAGGATGTTTACTCAGGCAGGGGACTGAGCAGGGTTTTCTCATAATTGTAAGCAGAGCACTTAAAACAATGTAATCCAACTTTTAGCCTGTTCCCGTGTTTGAGCATTCAAGTCTACATGACAAACTGATGAGCTCTGCATGTTTGCCAGGAAATCCAGGTTAAACCCAGTCCCCTGAACTCGGGCTTCTGCATCCTGACTCTCATCCTGTTTTGAGAAGAACTGGGGATGTTGCAGAGGGGAAGTTGTGTGTTTTCCCTCTTGGGAAATAGATCTGTGTGCTGTCACTGTTTGGTCCAGCGGCCTCTGGGCAAGTATCAAATGTGGTGTATCAGAGAGCTGCCAGGAAAGAGCAGGAAGTAGGTGAGAGACCCAAGAGCACTGCATGTAGGTAGGATGAGGTACAGTCATTCCTATATACTCATTTCTTTTCTTTGCAGCTGCTAGAGAAAGGAAGGACAAAACATAGCGCCTGGGGTAGCAGTTGTGGCTGTATCTGGCGTTTCACAGGCATTCCCACCACCTTCGCATGGCAGTGGGTGTCACGCCTCCTACACCAATCACCTGTTGTTTCTTGAACTGTACCACTCGAGCACACCCCTGACCAAGTCGATGGTCACACTTCCCGTTAAGCACCACAGTTCATCCTGCTGCACTCCTCAGCCTGCAGCACGGTACGGTTTAAGCACTCTCAACCCTGGGATCCTCTGGACCTAAATCCCAGACTCTGCCAGAGCAGGGAGCTGACTAGAAACAGACATGTCAGGCAGAAGGAGCTGGAGGAAAGCACACACGTGTGGGGTGCAGGCGGCACAGGGGAGCATTGCTGGGGGGCTTCGCATTCCCCTGGCGCTGGGGAGCTGCCGTGCCTCTGGCAGCTGTGTCCCCAGCTCCCTGCTTCAGCTGCTCCCGAGTGAATGTGTCTTGTCATCCTCACCGCGTGTGCGGGATGTACATCTTAAACCGAGCCCCTCGCACGTGGAGTCCTACAGTTTGGCCAGATCCCTGATGGCTCATTGGGAATGTCAGAGGAGGAGTTGTAGACTGCTCAGGCGTTATGGCTGTCTCTGAGGTTGTTAG